CATCCCCTCACCTTTCAAACACCTTGAATTTAAGGGTTCATTTCAAAGCTGCCTTTCAGCATTTCAAAACAAGTCCATGTCCCGGACAAAGAGAGGGAGCCAGCCGGCGTTCGGAGCCTCCTTGTGCCGTGTGTGTCACAGTTTTAAATAGATTTGCCCTGCTTGGATTGGTTCTGGTTGGAAAGCGAGTACTGAAATGAGAGGTCATAGGGGAGAGTTACTATGGTAATTGAGTAGTATCACCAGTAGTTTTGCTCTTATGAGCATTAAAGCACATAATAATAGACAAACAACAGTGGTTAAAGCAAGCAGGTAGGATTACTATGTTCTTTTGTCAGAAGTATATAATGTCTTGTAGTCAGTTTTAAAGACTTCTCAACCCCCAAATCCACCCAGCAGTCACCTGCTGAGTAATTTTGTATGCTTAATCTCTAGCCCTTAACTACAAGCTTTCTGCTAATTTGAGGCAAATGGGTATTTTTGACACTAAATAGGGCAGTAAAGAATCCCTGACCTAGAAAAACTCCATTCCAAGGCATTGAGAGCAGAAAAATATTCTTTCAGCATCCTTGTGAGACCTTTGGAATGACATAAAATAGCTTTGACTAAACTGTGCTGCAGCCTTCGATTAATGGTTTGCAGAAACTTGCTGAACATCCCTACTACAACTTCCCCCATAAAACTTGTCACTTCAGATTGCCATCAGCCACCACAACAATAATCATTTCATGCCTATTGCTAATTGCAAGCACAGCTGAGGCTCAGCGGGGTGCTCTTGCACAGTCCCAGGCCTTTATACCAGCCTCAATCTGTTGTATGGCACTTGTTCACACACAAAAAAACTACCAGTAAAGGCAGAAAGAGGCAGAGTCACAGGTTCCTTGTAATCCCTCTGCTACCCTGCTGACAACCCAGCCCTATAAGCATTCCTGGTTTTGTCCCACTCTTTACAAAAGCTGAAGTGACCTTAAGCTACTAGTATGTAAGCTTTTGAATGAAGAATACAGCTCCTTCAGGTGCCTTAAGAACCAGTGTTGCATCTGGCTTACGAGATTCTGTTTGCAGCACCCCTGGGGTGAGCTGTGGCTTCCTGTAACATGTAAAATATGAGTGTGAACTCAAGGTTCATGGCAAGGAACAGGAGGTCATGCTTCCATTCAGCTCACACCAAAGAAGACGGAGGTTTGCAGATGTTCCTGGGTATGTGTAATGACACCACCTCCCGGAAAGCGCAGAGACCCAGCACAGGGCTTTTTTTTTCTTTTTTTTATGTGCCACACTGAGTGTGCTACGTGCAGATTTATTCATATCAATTTATGTATTCAGAGACAAACTTGCTATTTCAGCAACTTATTGATCATGCTCTTGCGTTAAAAAAAAAAAAAGCTGGGGGAGGTGGAACAAGGAGGCTTGTTGCTTGAGCTGGTTGGGGTGTTGGATGGGCAGCCATGGAAACCCACCCCTTAGCTCCTCTAATGCCTGTCCAGGAGCATCCCAGCCAGCCCATGGCCCACCTCATCTACTCAGGCTAACAGGCTGAATTGAGGATTGCTGTGAAAGACAGAAGGGGGAACAGGACAACTAAGTTGAAGGAGGGATTAAAGCCTTGGCTGTGCTGTTACTGGGCTCTAGTAGCACCCAAAGAGCATCTCTCTGCATTTCCTCTGCTGTTAGCAAGCCACACGTTAGCAGCAGCAGGGCTGTGATGTAGCTCCGTGGAAGCCCCAGTCCCTTCCCTGCTGACATCCCAGTTCATGCATAGAGTTCACCAGTGCCCTCCACAGACATTCCTTACCCTCTTCCCCCCAGATTGAGTGTAAATTTTCCTCTGAGTGATGGGCGAGGATGCCAGTTACATCAGTAATGTGTGCGTGCAGGAGCAAGTTATACATGGGGCTGAGGTTCATGGGTCTGGGAGCATCCATGAGGTCTACTTGATTTTTACAACCAGGTGTGAGGAGTTTTGAGAAAATACACATAGGCTAGTTACTCTGGTTTGCCCATGCTGGGGCTCCAGAAACATGCCTGAAATGTTGCAGCCCCATGGCAAGGCCCCAAAGTTCACTTATTTGGGCTGTGCCCTTTGCACCTTGTATATGGAGCTGGAGCCCCAAGGAACCCAGCGTCCCTGCCATGTAGCCCTCTGCCCTTCGAGGAACGGCAGAGCCACCCAGGGAGGGCGATGTCCCGACAGGACAACACTATGCTCTTTTGTCTGAAATGATCTCATTTCTGTTTCAGAGCATTTGGCTTTGTTGTTGTGGGTTTTTTTCTTTTAATAATATAATCATATGCAAATGTTATCTTCTTTGGTAGGTTAGTCATGAATCAGAGGGCTTGTGCGTCTTATAGCACATCAACACTAGTGATAGCTAAAGGGAACATTTAATTTATGGGCTAACTTATTTTTATGAATATGCAGGGCTTAAATTCAGCAGTTGGTGTGTGCTCTATGAAGTGACGTGACGGTTTTGTGTATCAAGATCAATGAATTAGACTTTGTCTTTTTCTCATAAAGCAGAAAGTCTTTGGAGTAACTTAGCTTTGAGAAAGAGAGCTCCTTTCATGTGGCTGAGCAATACGCCTGGCTGAGCCCGTGTCAGCCCATACTCAAGAGGAGAGGGGTACAATTTAGATTTGGCTCAGAGAGGTTTCAGCATGTTGGAATGCATATCACAAGCAGAAAAATGTTTCAATTTGCTTAATCTGAATGTCTCACAGCAGCAAAGTCACCTTGCCGGGTAACCTCCAGGCAGAGATTATAGTATCTGGTTTGGACCGTACAGCCCTGCAGGTTGTGCATGGCAGGGGACAAACAGAAATGGCAGGACCTGCCCCTGCCAGGGACTTCTCATCTCGTTTTGAGGTGATATAAACACCCGGCAGATGATTTTGCGGAAGATGAGAGGCAGAGGTGGAAGGGAGAGGATATGTGTGTGTAACACACGGTCACATTGTTCCCCTTTGGGTTTTGATTTAAAGGGTTGGTGGAAGGACACATTTGGGTGGCCTGGGCACAGCACAGGGCCAGCACAGCCCTGGGTCAGAGCTAATGTCACCCGAGAGCATGATGCATTTAAGCATGTGAATTGCAGAAAACATTTTAAGCATTAATGCTTTGTCTCTGTTTAGCCCATGGTGGGCCCCCAGCAGTATGAGGGAACCCAGGCAGATCCCTCAGTGACAGAGGTCACTTAGCGTCACCTCCCCAGCTGGCTGCTGTCTGTCCTGGGTCATTGTCCCAGCACCCACAGGACCCAAGGGCTCTCCGGTGATATCCAGGGATGCTCTGACCTCTCAGGCTAGTCTGAGGGATTGGAAGGTATGAAGACCCCCCAGACATTCATGTCTGCTGTACTGGCCAGGCCTGCACCGGCTAACCAGGGTATTGCATTCACAGTTCAACCCCAGCCTGACACCAGGACCTCAAGTGACAGCTAACAGTATGTGAGCCTGACTTCTATCACAGAGGGAGCTGCTGCTTGCCTGCCTCAATTAGTTTCATTCAGGCGCTTCGCTCTTGCCAGGTCTCCGTCCTGGAGATGAAGGGCCAGCAGGCATCTGCCACAAGTTGAACAAGGTGTAAGCACCGAGCAGGCGATCACCATGTGCCATTTCTTTGGTGGCTTTTCCATCCCTTTATTTCTTCCATTTTAGTAAGGGGTGGTGTAGAAATAGAAGTGCAGGAACATCTTTGTTAAAGTGGGGCGGGGGGGAAACCCTTTCCCAGAGCAGCACGACCAACCTCTGCTGTCTGCCCCTGAGGGACGGTGTTGAAGGAGGGAAGGTAACAAGTCACCAGCCTCAGTTGTGCAGTTAGAGAATACTCAGTTGTCTCCATTCACCTGCTGCACCGGCACCTTCAGCAACTAGAGGGAAGAGGGCATGTTTCTGCGTCGGAGACCCTCACCCCAAGGTGCAGGCAAAGGAGGTGTTAGACTGCGTTAGGCTGAGGCAAGGTTTTAGGCTGGTTGGGGTGGAGCTCAAATTGCTGACTAATTTCAGACTAACCTGGATGGCACTCAGTCAGGATTTTTAGCAAGTGGTCTGGTGGTTTTTAATCTTTAACTGGTTCCAGATTAATTGCAGCTGCTCTGCCGCATAGGTTTTGATCTCTGTGTGTGTGTGTGTAACAGAGGTTATGAGGGAAGGGTGTGACCGTGCATACAGAGGCGCGATGGGTTTCTGTCATCAACCATTGTACTGAGCGCCGTGGTGAGGTTTTGAGGTGGTTTTATTTTTTGTGATCTCCTCCTCGTTCCCTGCCACAGCCCTTGCTTTCCTTTCGTCCGTGTGGCGTCAGACGTGCAATGCCAGCCCTGCGTGAGCGGGGCACTGATCCACAGCCCACCGGAGACTTCCTGCGCCGCAGGTCTCTCAGGCAAGCGGCAAAATTTCAGCCCCTGGAGGGGCCCTGTGAGTTCAGCAGCTTGAAAACAAGCTCGTTCTTTTGCTGCTTTTTCCATCTTTCATAATCGCGAGAGTGAAACCAAGGCATTTCCTGTGCAGCCTGGGCAGGCACCTGTCGGTGCCCACACCAGCATCCTCACCTGCAGCCAAACCCTGCCCCGCACAAGCCTCCCCTCCGCCCACCATCAGGGAACCAGACTCGCCCCGTGGCTGGTTATGGTTGAATTTCAAGACGGTAAGTAATGTGAGTGTGGGTCTGACACACTTAAAGGAAAGGTCGGGGGCAGGCGAGGGGGTTAAAAAAAATAGATTGGGCCAAATGCACACCACTGCTGTCAAGTCCTATCAATGGTTGCTGTTACACCCCCCCCACCCCAAGTTTGTCATTAATAGTGAAACTTAAAAGCTGATGCATGGAAATTAATTCTGTGAAAACGAGGGTGCCTGTCTCTCCCTCTGTCGTATCCCACGAATGGGCTGGCGAGCGGGAAGGTGACACAGGGTGTTAGTGAGGGCACAGCACCCAGCCCTGGCGTGTTGCTGGAGAAGTCCTGTCTCTCTTGCAGCAATGGTACACCAGCTCGATGAATGTTGTCTGCACCTGGCTGACAGACCGCATGGACCTGCAGCTTCACATCTACCAGCTGAAAACGCTCATTAGGATAGTCAAGGTAACCAGCCGATGCGCTTTCAAAACCGTCTTGCTGTCGGAAGAAGCGTGCGTGTATGCCTGCGTGCGTGTGCCACGTTCTCTTAGGCAAACTGCCACGGGCAAATAAATAAAGCCATTTGTTACAGCTCTAAAAATTAAGATACGTGTGTGTATCGCACCTAGCAAAGGATAAACAGGAACTTCTAATGCATATAGATGCAAAATACAGGTGTTTGCATGAAAAAAAGGGAAGCTATTGCTATTTGACCCTTCCTGTACAGCAAGTGCACAAAAACTAACCTTGTTTGTGGACAAACATCTTGATCACACCCGTGAACTCCAGTGTTAAAATGGGTTAAATCAAACCAAAAGTTTTTAACACTCTTCTACTAGAAACGTCTAAGCTCAGCTATGGTTTGTGATTGTCATCGGAATGCAAATGAGGATTGTTCTCATAGTTAATTGAAGTTGTTTCTTTTACAATGGGTATATATAATCAACTGTAAGAGATCAGGAAGGTGAGATAACATATCCTGAAAGTAACTTTTGTTTTTCCTTGAGTGCACTTGTGTGTGTGTGTGTGCGTGCCTTGGACTAATGATAATTATTTCAGTGTGAAATCTCAGTGGTTTACATGAAATAATAAGATCACAGAAGGGGGTAAATATATTTTTGATCATTTTAGGATCTATCTAATGCTTTTTGGTCTAATATTTTATAATGTTTATGGTCCTGTGTGCAGTGAACACATTGAAGGCATGAATAGATTAAGACTGAAATGTATTAAATGTGCTTTTCATAACTGAAAACAACAGGCACAGACAAATTATTTCTACTTGTCAGTTAGCTGAGGAAAGCTTTCTTCCTTGTGCTTTATTTATACCAATATTACATTCAGAAGCAGCTACAACAAATCCAAGGACTTTCTGAAACAGCAGAACAGCAAGTAGTTTCCACAGAGCAGAGCACAGAGCAGAATTAAATGAACTGCAAGGCCAGAGTTTTATCTCACGGAGTCGAGAAGTTTTTAAACATAAATTCAAATGAGAGACATTAATCATGATAAGGAAATAACAGCTAACCGTGGAAATGCAACTCCAGTTTCAGAATTAGGCAGTGAAAGAGAGATTTGGGAAACGCATGCTGTGTGCTTATATTTATACACCCACAATTTGCTCTGGAATCCTGGACTTAAGTTTATTGAATCCCAACACTGTAGGTAGGATTGCTTAATACAGAGCATTCCAGGAATGTGCAATCACGGCTGCAGTTACGGGCGATAAGCGTTTTGCTGCATGAATATCTGATGCTGCAGGCAGGAGGCATGCCTCCAGCAGCAAGGGAAGTTAGTGGGTGCAGAGCCCTTAGCTGTTGCCTCGATTCTTAGACCTTCCAAACCTACCAAACGCAGGGTTCCCCCGAGCAGCCCCCATATGTCCCTGCTTCAAAGCCCGGCAAAGGCAGGGCTGGCCACGGCAGAGCGTGGAGAGCAGAGAAGCCCCCAGGGCTGGGATTTCCCCAACATCAGTGACCCCAAACCCCCCTGGGCGCGCCTGGGGGCTGACTCCTGCAGCGAAGTGGGGCAGCCAGTGTCCGTCCCTGACCTCTGCGTTGTCCTCTCGTTCCTCCGTGCCTCTCCCCGCTTTAGAAAACGTACCGGGATTTCCGATTGCAAGGCGTGCTGGACTCCACCTTGAACAGCAAAACCTACGAGACCATCCGGAACCGGCTGACGGTAGAGGAGGCCACGGCGTCGGTCAGCGAAGGCGGAGGCCTCCAGGGGATCACCATGAAGGACAGCGATGAGGAAGATGAAGAGGACGACTAGAGAAGCTGGCCCGAAGGACCGGCTGGGGGGCGCCTGGTATCCGTGCATGTACCTCGTCTGTAACTCGGTTAGCCACATTAGGAATTTTTATGTCAGCTCTAAATGCCCATGAGAAGTTTACCAATACAAATGCCATGTTAGCTGTGTGGTAATAAGATTAGCACCTCTCTTTGATTCATCGGTTTCCTAATTTCATCTCTATATGTTCATAAGCAATATGGAGCACCATTGTTTAATACTGTTAATGAAGAAAACTACATAGAAAACATGCTAGGTGTGTCCCTGTTATAATTAAAGTTTAAACAACGCTTCATTAATGTACTGTATATACATTGATGGTAAATTGTTGTGAAGATGAGTGAATCGAGTCCTTTCATTTCTCTGTTTCTCTTCTGTGGATGCCAACTGCTTAAAATTAATAATAATAAAAAAACAGCTTTGTTTTTAAAAGAAGAACGAGGCAATTACAAATGATTTTTTTTTGTTCTCTCTGTTCATTTAAAAAAAAGAAAACAAACAAACCCAGACAGCCGTTTGAATCATTCTGCATCCTTGTTAATGTACCAGGCTCTTCCCTTCAATATGCAGTTAACTCCATAGAGGCTACATCCCAAAGGATTAGTCATTCTAATTGCCACACCAGATTAATCCTATCATTATGGATATATCATGCCACATTACAAGTCCAAAGCAGTTGTTTTATGTTGACGTTTGCTCCTCTAAATGTTACTTTTTTTGTTTAAATTTCAAATAACCGTGTATGTACAAAGACAACTTTAATTACAATCTTAGACTATACAAATGTGTTTATAATATATTGAATATTTATTTCAGTAGATTGTAACCATAATTTACAATTCCTCTGTTTCACAATGGTTTTTATATATGTCATGTACATTGCATTTTGACCAGTAACTGCATGTCCATCAGTCCCTCCTCCAGAGCTTTTACTTTCTGTGTAAAATAGTGATCCATCTTGCTTTTTTTGCCTTATACAAGCCGACAGTTGTAAAAGTGTGAGAACTGTGGCTTCTCAATAAATAACTATTCAGATGTCCTAAGAATAAATTATGGAGTCTTTTTATGTCTGCCTTAGGGAAAAAAAAAAGTAATTACAAGCTGAGATGTAAGAGCCCCCACCTCTCAGAATAAAGGCATTTTCTTTTCTCATGGGTGTTCTTACAGTTTATTAATTAAGCAGATGGTTTCCTGATTTGCTCCCCAAAGTCAGGGTTGGACCACACTGTCTGTTCCCCAGGTACAAGGGCATTTCTGCTACCACCTCCACAGTTGATCCCACCATTACCTGCACTCTTCATCCTACCATTTGTCTTTGGACATCTGACTGAGGGTCTGCCCTGGTACAGCCCATGTTGTTACCTGGGCATCAGCCTTGCCCCACACTTACCGTCCGCCAAAAGGCCTCAGTCTGTATTTTAATTTCTCCCGTAGCAGCCAGTTGCAGCAGCCTGCTGGGCACCTGCAAAGACACAGCACAGAGCAAACCCCTAGCCAAAATTAAACAACAGACTGGTGTGGTGGAAAGCATGTTGGATTGGGAGTTTCCTGAGAGGCTTTGCTGTCACTCCTGCCTAGCAGCCAATTCAAGCCAAAAATGCTCCTGCTAGGCAAAGTTTCCATCGTTTGAGAGATAAGCAGAATTGCTGATGTCCTACACCCCTAAGCACAGCAACCTGTTGCCACCCTGGAGAACGAGGATAAATGTTCACCACCCACAAATAAACGATGGGCAAATATTAGAAAAACATCCTTCCTGAATGAACCTCCCTGACATAATGAACCATAAAACTAAACCATCTTCCAGAACCCAAAAGTCATAAGACTGCTTGGATGTATGGGAGAAGGAGGGGAGACATGGGAACAGCCTGTGAAGGGGGTGCTGGTCCAAATGTGCGCTTGGAGCACATTCACCTGCAATGCTGGATTTATGAGGTCCCTTCTCATTGTGTCAGGAGTTTAGCACTTAGTTCTAAAGGTGCTCTGCAGCCCCATCTGGATGGCCATACCCCACACATTCAACACCTGTGTACACCACCCATCTCAGAACAGGGACAGTCTTTACTTTAGAGGCAGATGGTAGGCATGCACATTTAGCACCATTTAACTGTTAATAAGCCATTTGCTGCACTAGGATAGACAAGTGTTTAACCCTGACTGTAGCCCAGCAGATCACTTCTTGAGTTTTGTCTTGCTCCTTGATGCTTGCAGAGGGAAGTATTGCCAAGAAAAGCCAGCTCTGAGGACTGCATACGTCACTGGGACGTTTACAAAAAGCATCTATATCATGACATTGTTAATGCTTGGAGGCTTCAGTCACACCCTGAAGCCCACACAGGACTTGCCTGACAAAACGACTCACAAGACATAAACCAATGAACAAACTGCAAGCATCACCTCGTCCCTTCCTTCTAGGTGGTCAAGATGCACCCATACAACATTCTGACAAATCCATGTGCTCATGCTCTCTTCATCCTCTCTCCCTCAGCAGTCACAAATATTTATATGAAGAGCAACCACTCCAGGAGGAGGCACATCCCTTTCCTGGGATGGCCACGAGGTTGGTAGCAAAGAGCACTGGGGGACACCCAAATTTGTAGCTCTGCTCCCCAGTCAGGCAGAGCAGAGCTGGAAAAACCGTTTGGTTCTGCTCTGGAAATGGCTCTTTTTTTTTTTTTTTAACATGAAATATTTATTGGGTAAAAACACAGCCCACTTCCACCTGCCACCTTTCAAAACAGTGAGCTCTGCTCAGTTTTTTGAATGAAAGAAAAAGGCGCAGCCTTCGGGATATAATCCTCGGCTGTGCATCACTAACACACACAGGTGCCTCCCTGAAACAGCAGTGATGGACACCCTCATCTGAGTTTCTGTCGGTTAGCCGTGACCCTATAGCCTGTGACACCTTTTTGCACATCCTCAAACTCTAATAAAGTGCCTCAGAGCCACCATAACATCCCTGAGGGTATGTCAGGCTTGACCACACGTTCAAAACAAAGCAGCATTAACCAGCTTACTTCTTTTAAGGAGCTTGGACCCAAACGATGAGCTTCAAGTTACATGCTTGAGTGTGAGTGGGGAGAAGGTGCAAAGCAGGATCTAACCTCTCGCTCCAGAGCCCGTGGCTGTGCAAAGGAGCACATTGTACCTTGATCCCCACTGCCTTCAACCCTGCAAATGGTTATGTGGGTGCTGGCAGCCCCACCCCATCCTATATGGGCGCTGAACCACGGTAGCAAGAGTGGGAAGCTCACCTTGAGTTAACTCTGCAGAAATCTCGAGTCCAAAACAGCTTGGTTTTGTCTGAAAAATATAAATCCTGGTTTAAAGCCCTCCTGGTCGTGGATGACTATGCTGTGGACAGGAGTCAGGCTCTTGCAGAACAAAGCTACACCTTCGGCAGCATCTGAAAGGGCTTTCTGACGGGCAGCAGCACGCTGGCAAAGCCAGCCAACAAACGCAAAGGTCTGCTGCTGGTTTTGCTTCAACTCGTTGCTGCGATGGAATGAGCTCCAACAGTCAAAAGGACTTTCTGCCAGTACAACTGCACCTAGATGAAGAATCTGCCAGTACAGTTATGTCAATCAGTTTTGGGGAAAGAGGAAAATTTCTTTCTTCTGCCAGCAAAATTTTAAATGATAGATCAGGCCAAAACTTCTCTCATATTTACAGGGAAGTCCAGCGAAAATATCCTTTTTTTGACAGACTTACTTAAAGCATGTGGCATGGAGACTGAAAATGCTATCAACTATTTGACTGACAAGTGTCAGCAGCTGTTCATCCAATTTGTTTTATATTTCAGCAACTAACAGATTCTTTCCCCTCTGCTGTAATGCATGTCTCCTGGCCCATAGGCATCTTAGAAATTGCTTTTCTGTCTCTCTAGTGACCAAAACGTCAAAAATATTAGAAGACAATTTGTGTTCAGAAGCATAAATAGGCACGCAGCAGAGCAAAGATGATTTTGTCAATGTTCAGGCTATGTTCTTTTTTTAAAAAAGTCACAGCAAACCTAAGGCAAAAATTATTTCTCTAAGCTTTAGAAGCAACAGCTAAAGCAAACAAAGCACCCAATAAATCAGCATAGGTTAAACCATCAACTACCAAGGGAAAAAGCAGTCATCTAACAGCCAACTAAAATGCAGCTGAGCCATATTTCAACCGCTGCACTTTGTCTGCAAAGTTCATGACTTTACACTACTGCCGACGTCACCAATATTTGTTCAAAAACCCTCTCCGTGGTGTCAGGATTCAGCAGAGCCACTGCTGTGTCAAGCTGAGTCCAGCTAGGAGAGTCCCCATTCACAAAACCCAGCCCCCTTCACCTCAGGTCTAGGAATGCTTTCAGAAACTCTTTGATCCCTGACGGCATGTAGTATAAATTACAGTTATTGCAGTTGCCACCCATTCTGAACTTGCTGGGCTAACAAGCCGGAGTGACACCTCTCTCCAGTGAGCTGTAGTTCAGTGATATTTCCTTTATTCAATCAGGTTTAGCCTCTTGAGCTAAACCTGAAGTGATATTTTCCGCAGTCTTTCTAAAAGATAAATATTCCATTTCAAGTTGTAAATCTGCATTTGTTGTAACTATGCGAAATATGGGAGAAAAAAGTGCAGAGATTATATGCAATCTGCCAGCAGAGTTGTGTGCCATGAGGAAAATGCCTCACAGGTCAAAACAAAGAAAAACACTGAGCAACAAATTAGTTGCAGGCAGTAGCTAATATGGAGATCAAAAGATTAAAATCAACATGCAACGATGAAATCACTGGAATAATAGGAGCACTTAAGAAGATTAAGTCAATAACAGAGTCCAGTAGTACAAAAATAAGATTTTGATTATACTGTAAAATTTGATATTGGGAGAGCAAAAGCAATTACAAGCACGACATGCTTCGCTCTCCCCGCCTTAGACCATCTTGGCTCATTTCCTATGCAAGGAATACAGTTGTTGAAATAAACAGAAATGTTATGACTCAAGTGCTCAATTCAAAAAACAAACCAGGTGGTCAGATCAGATTGGGGACTGACAAGACGGGGTCTGTAAAACGAGGACTTGTTGCAGATCCCAGAGGATACGACAGCTGGGGGGAACAAAGGCCACACCGTTTAGAACTGCTCTCGGCCGAGAATGCTCCACAAGCAGCTGATCTTGGGGAGCTGTCCCAGGCTGTCAGCTGGAGAGGAGAAGCACTGGAAGGGAGGAAAGAGGAGAGAAAGAGCTCGAAGGGTTGAAGTGAACATGATGGTGAACTCTGGTAACGGGGAAGGTTTTTTTCTATCCAACTAAAACAGCAGAGATGGCAGGTTTGGTTTTGTGATGTACCTGAGAGGCAGAGCACGTGGCAAACTCCAAGCCTATCTGGATCTTTGTGTAAGAGACAAGAACGTGACCCATAGCCACGTTCACTGCTCCTGGTGACCACCCAGTAGCACAGCCCAACGGCGATGGGAAGGATGACCTGTCAAGGGGCAGCTAATGCTCACCACGACAGATCCACCCTTGGTTCCACCCAGGCATGTAAGCAGGAAGAGATGAGCCAGTCCCTCCAGCAAATACTGGCCATGGGACACCAGCCTCATCCATGGACTGTGGCACCAAAGGCCTATAGCTCCCCAAGGAGAAATGATTACCCCGATGGGGTCCTCCTCACCCAAGAAGTCTCAAAGCCCTTGGTGGGTTTTGCAGTGCTCTGTGTTTCGTCAAAAAGAATCTAAGCAGCTCCCCTGCTCTCCAGAGCTGATGACTCGTCCAGGCTTTTCTCTAAATTGGTTTTTCAGCATCACTAACTCCAGCCCCACCCCCGCCCCCACCCCAAAATCACAAGCTAGGCTCATAATTAAATCAAATAAATAAATTACCAGCTATTTTTATAGAATTTGTGGGTGTTCTTGAACATTCAGGGAATACTTGGGTCGTGCATTGAAGTTTCTTCCTGCAATAGCAAGGTCTGAATTTTCAGTTTGGGCTCTGATTATTCGGGGGATTTTTAATGGTTCTTCTAGATCACGTCTTCCAGGGTGAAATCAGCACTTTTCTTGCTCCCAAGTGGCACAGCAGCAGTTTCACCAGTCAATCTAAAAGTCCTGCCAGGCTCCCTCTGATGTAGCCACCACGACCATAGACAAGGACGCTGCAGCCCCTCCCCCGT